ATTTCCCAAACAAGCCTCTCTCCTCACCTCTCCCCTGAAAGCCCATTTCTCTGGATCAGCTTTCTTTGGAGGCCTTGGCTTCTGCAGTGAGTTCTGTGGGGGCTGTGTGTGATTATTCAGGGAGGAAGAGGGCTGAGGGAGATTATTGCTTTCCTCGTGGCTCAGAATAAAGGCTGCGAGCTGGAGATAAATGAGCAGATCAAATGTGTGACCTGCTGAGAGCAAACTCAGCCAGAAGAAGCCATTGTCTTTTCTAGTCACTTTTAAGGAGTTCCAGTCATTTATTGCTGACAGTGACCTGCTCTTGACCAAGAAAGGCAGAAGTTTTCTCAAGCACTGTTCCCATTCCCAATGCTGAAAAAACTGCCCACCTCACATTGCCAATGGACAGCTTCTCGTTTGAAATCTCTCACCTTGATTAATTCTCTTCTTCTATACTTTCAAATAGATTGGTGAGAGCAGACTAAACCAAAATAGATCTTTGTAATTGGATGTGAGTCACTGGTAATTAATGAATTCTATAAATAAGCAAGAAGGATGATAAAAAAATCAATCACAAAATTCATTTTTACATCAAGGAATATTTCTGGCAGAAATGAATTAAAGGAAAACTGTGTTTTCTTTAAAATCAGGAGCTGTTATTGCCTGAAGGCCAAAATTTTCCTCTTACCTACTTCACTCTGCAGAACTGGCTATCAAAGCCTTCTGAGTATTTCCACATAGGAGGGCTCAGAGTTTCCTCCTGCCCATATTTTTTTCCTGCTGCACATTTATTGTGGTTTTGCCTAATGTAGTTTTGCCTCTGTCAAATCCAAAATCCCATTTCCTCAGATTATTCCACAGGCAGATAAAATATTGTCATTTAGGAAATTCTTCTTATAAATTGTACTTCACCCATTTTATCAAGAATTTCTCTCTCCTGTTCTCTCACCTGTTCTCATTGAGAACCTTCCTCTTTGCAGTTTTCCCCATTCATATTTCATCCAGTGATTTCTTATTTTCCCACTAGATGTCATCCAAGTTATTTTGTTCTCAAATTCTGAGCATCCCCCCCCCCCACCATCGGCCCTTGAGCTATAATTTCTCAATTCAAAAGAATTGCCTGAAAGAACGAAATATTGTGTTCTTTTTAGGGTATTGTTTTCCATTGTCTCCAAGATACAAATAAATCTGAGGTACAAAATGTGTGTATTAAATGATCTGTCTAAATCAGAGGGCTAAAAGCACATGTTTGTGTTTTATGGAACTTGGAGGGTTTTGAATCTGTTAATGAAAATATTCATGTTCAATTTGGATTTACACAGCCCTGGGCTGGGCAAACT